AGATGTTCACACATACGGACCACCCCCAGAACCTTGACTTGATAATTACAATACGGGAACGTGAATGCAGCCAGGGCAGACCCTTCCTGAGGATTTCTGTGCAGTATGCGAGCAGCACTGACACCAGCCAATGGGTATCATAAATACTTCCGGGGTGAAAGGGGAGGGAGGGAGAAGGAAAGGAAGAGTGGACGGTACACACAGTATTACATAATTTTAAACTCAGTGCCAAAGCGCAAGCAGGAAAGTAAATTTTTACATTCTCTTCACTCACTCAGAGGTTCAGTAACACTTATAAGGGTTTGGGGGACAAGCAGGCTTTGAAAGCTGCAGGAGGAAAGTGCATGGGCAAATCAGGGGGACCTCCTCAAGTCTCTCTGAGCTGCATGCGCTGACATGTACGGAGTGACAAGGCAAAGGCCACCAACACTGCTCCAAACATGCAAGGACAGAAGACAGGAAATCACTGAAGTTAAGAACATCAAAGGACACCAATGGAGCAAACAGGGCCCAGAGAAACACGGTACAGCGCCTGCAGTGAAAGTGGTCTTAGGAGCTGCTGATGCTCAGAACTTAATAAAAAGCACTAGAACTAACCACACTGTAGCCCCAGGTGCTGCAAGTGAGCAAGTTTCTTTTAAGCCAGTCTGCCACCACCGAGGCGCACTTGTACCAGGATACAAGTGGCATGTTCTCAGGTTGGGTGGCAGCGTCCCGCATATCTGAGCTAAACTGCTAGATGGACCATGGCATTAACCACTGCTCCAAAGCAGAGCCGAGGCAGGGCTGCTTTCCCAGGAACCTGTGCTCGCTGGCCCAGGAAGGCACATGCCTCTCAGACCACGAGTTTGCCTCTGGTTGTGAGGTCTGATGGAAGTCGAGCTCACAGAGGCCCCTATGATCCAGGAAGTTCATAAATGACTCAGAGGACTGCACGGAGTGACCTCTGTCTCAGGGCGAGGTCTGAACCCCACCATCCAGACAGCGTGTGTCATGTGCCCTCTCCCCTCACCCCAGTCCGTTCTCAGAGGGGCCGTTCATTAACTGGAGGGCCAGAGCAATTCATTTGCTCTCCGGTGCCTCCGTCTTCATTTCTATCAAATTAGGACTCCATGATCGCCAAGAGCCCTCAGTTCTAACACCCTGCCAGTCGGTGCCACATGAGCAGCTGTGACCCAGGGATCCCCTCTTCTCTCTTGGACTCCTCCTTAGCGCCGGCCTCTGGGGTCTTCTCCCTCCACTCCACAGCTGAAAGTTGTCACAGTCAAGAGTCCTTCCAAGACTGGCAGGAGCTTTCCCATGAGATCACCCCCTGCACAGGACAGCCCTGGGGTCTATGTTAGGGTGACACACACAAGGGCTTGGGCAACTCACCAAAGCCTGCAGATTTCAAGTCAGATGCCCCAGAGGCCCCCCACACTACCTTCCTCTCCTCCTGCAGGGCCTGCCTCTCTCATCCATTCCCAAGGCCAGCAACAAACCTCGTGTGTGTATGTGTCACATCTGCCAGGTGACGTATGCACACAGGACCAGGACTTGGAGCCTCTGAACACAATGGGAGCTCACGATGGGATCCTTGGGCCCTGCGGTCAGGCAGAGGTGGACAGGACTTAGACACGTGATTAGCATGCAGCCTCACAGCTGCTCCGCAACCCGAAGCCACAGCATTTCCTTAGCTGAGGCCTAAACTCTCCAACACTCCCAAGTCCCCCAAGTCCAACGCTGATATCACAGAATAAGCAAGGAAAAGGGCTCAAGCTAGACATCAAACTCCCCAGGGACCCACCAGGAGAGCATGCTAAGCAGAGTGACGGACCATGTAGCTTTTCTGAGCTTCCTCTAGGTTCTAGGAGCTTGGGGACCCTCCCCTGGCTCAGTTCCAGGCTTCTCCTCTGTAGAATGGGAATCACAGGAGGGTCGTTCTAGGGACAAAGCCCACCTGCCCATGGGAGGGATGATGGACCAGTGGGAGGGGAAAGCCTGGGGACAGCTGGTGGCTTTCCATTAAACTAGACAGGAGGGTGAAACCCAACCCCAGGCCCACTCCTTGGGTCTGCCTAGCCCATGAGACCTGTGCCGGTGGGAGCTTGCAAATTAAAAGGAGAGGCTTATTTGGTTTGTCTGTTGTCCTTGGCTTCCAGGAGAAATGCAGGGCACATGGGCCTGATGCACAGGAAGCTCGGATTGTCAGGGAGGAGCCAGAAGGGAGGCAAACCCACCTGGTCACACTGGGGACCCCTTCCAACAGACCCCTGCCAGCAGCAAAGCAGCTTTTTACCTCTGCAGTGTCATTACTCTCCAGGCTCAGTCTGAGGCCCTGTGCGCTGGCAGGGGCATCTAAGTAAACTGAGACCAGGCTCCACCGCAGGCCCACCCTATGCTGACCCAACCAGACTCCACTCAGCCAGGCCACCTAGTATTTCTACTGCAGGGTGCCCTTTTCCCTGGAGAGGCCCCTGGCTGCACCAGAGGCCGCACACTCACCATGCCCTTCACCCCATGGGCCTAGGAGGTTGCCAGGGCAACGAGCTATTCTCAGCCTGCGCCATGGGATCCGGCTTCTATACCCACACCCCAAGGGCTCACTTTGGTCTCATTCTGCAACCCATGCTGAGATCGCTTCCTCCTGTCTCACAAGATCAGAGCAGGGGGAGGACAGGAGGAACCGACTGCAGCTGGGCCTCGCTGTGTATCTCCTCCTCACTTCATTTCCTCAGTTAAGACACATTTCCATTTAAAGAGTACTTTTTCCTAGAAAAATCTCCCAGTGTTCACCTCTACTCCACCCAGAAACTCCTCTGACCTCTTCCTGTTTTCACCCTTTGAATATCTGCTGATGGTTCACTCACCACATTCCCCACTCGGTTATTAATGGCCCACACAAGCTTACTGGGGCAATCATCTACTGATTAATCTGCACGACAATCCAGAAAGACAGGTTGTATTAATCCTTCATTCTGCAGAGGCTGAGTGTGTGTGTGAGTGTGTGTAAGTGTGTGTGTGAACTCACTGGCAGAGTCAGAGCCAGAGGAGCTGAGCCCTGGGACAGTGCCCATCCCTGGATTTCTGCCATGCTTGCCCAGTGCTGTTCCAAATCAGAAAGGCAACCATATCTGCACTGAGACCCACTTGTCATGGAATGGTTGAAATTGTGAAAATTCACCCCAAAATATTTTTAACTCAAAGAGTTCACAGATAACAGTGGCTACAAGAGAGGGGTGATCGTACTTCAGAACAAATTTGTCAGGCAGAAAAAATGACAAGAAAAAGATCTGGATCATAGAGCAACTCCACTACAATGGATGAGAGAGTGGCTTCACTGAGTTGCAGCTCTGTGTCCCCTGCACAGCCAGGTGGCCAGGCTAGGGCATGCTTAAAGTGCCTGCTGAGTGTCTGTGAATAGAGCACAGACTAAAACAGCACCGACACCCAAGGCTTCTGAGCCCGGTGAACAGGGATGTGTAGTCCACATTACTGAAGCACAGGGTGACAGGGCCCTTGGAAAACCGGGTACCAGCAGCAGCCAGGGCCATAAGGAATCCCTGTCCCTAAGCTCAGGAATGTGTCACCGAGTATCACCTGCTCAGAAACAGCCCAAAAGAAGCAGAGAATCACAGACACATGAAAATGCACATTCCAGGGCCAGCCACCAACAGAAAGACTGCCATCAACACACAGATTCATTTTAGAAACAGTTCTTCTTAATATAGGGGTACTCAACAGCACCAATGGCCACCATAATTAAAAAAGGTAACTGTGGAAGTGAGGCAGAAACCCCTACAGTCTCACCAATACCATTAAATGAAAAGATCCACTAGTAAAGACCTTGCTGTCAGCTGACCATAAGCTGGACGGATATGCAAAAGTCCACAAAAGATCAAAATAGCTACGTCATTAGGCCTGTTATTTATTTTTTTAACAAAATTCTCTCCAATGCCAGTGTTCCATTAACTCACACATTTTATCACGGAATCCATAATTTATCACTGTCTCAGACCTTGCTTCAGTTCAATGGAAAACAAAATCTTAGAGTTTCTGCCTAAGTCTCCCGAGTAATTTTTATTGCCTCCCATAATATTTATTGCATTTTTCTTCCAGAGTAGTTTCTTCTGTTTACTGCCTAATCCTTCAGTGTCATTAAAGATTCTGAACTCTCAGAATGCCTGTGCTTCCTTCCTTTCCCTCAGATGGGAAGATTGTTATAAAAAGCTGTCCTTTTTTTCTGTCTTTTTTTAATAGGGTGCTGGGGGTGCAAGGCAGGGCGCTGTGGAGGCAAAGCTTGCACTTTCACACGAGCTGCCCCCACCCCACCAGAACCAGCTTCTGCGGGATGCGAGACTCAGTGAACCCCAGGACCGCATGGCAAGGCTAGCATTTGCCAAATGCCTGACCTGGATCCCGGTGTTTTCCAGACCCCTGAACTGTGGGCTTTCCTCAAACATGCAGGCCAGTTTCACACTATGCATTTTTAGAGTCTTACCCAGCACATGCAGTCTTTTCAGGATGTCACAGGGTTTCCTCCACAACCCTTACAAAGCCTGTCCCAGGCCATCCTGTGCTGAGGAGCTTTGCTTCACACACAGACTCTGACATCCTCTTGGCATTTCTTAGAAATGCTTTCTTACGACTCGGTCATTTGTACATCTTTGATCATATCTCAGAAAGACTGCAGAGCCAATGAATTAAAAATACAATTCCAGGTCTCATGTGTGCCAGCGAACACCCTCATTAAAGCAGGCGTGCGAAGAAACCACTTTCCAAGCTGCCAGTCCCGCTGCCCCAGCACTGCCGAGGCCAGGCACTGAAAGGATGCACAGTAAAATTAAATATCTAAAAATTCATCTTTAATTAACAGCACTGGATCCAAGCTAGACAGCGCCGCACATCATAGGCGGAATGGCTGAGCTGGCTTCCGAGGGCTTTAATTCAATTAGGACGCGGTGAGTGGCGCTGGGACGGGCAAGGTTAATTGGGGCGGCCAGAACGCAATCATTCCTTACCTAACCAGTCATTAAACTTCTTAACCTCTGAGGGCAGTCCCAGCTCGGTGAAATCGCCTGTGTGGAGAAGGATGTCCCCGTAAGGCATCTGGATACCATCTGTTCTGGAGTGAGTGTCTGAGATGCAGACAAATCGCGTGTGGCCCGCCGGCTTTGGAGTGTCATATGGGATGGGGTCGACCCTAAAGTAGACACAACAGATCCCATAACAGTTAAACACATCAGAACCCTGGACATTGTCACTGCACACACATCCACCATTAGCCGCGCACGCACCCACACCAAACGGGGCCCTCTGGGATAGGGGACGCCGTGGGGCGTTGGGACAACATGGCCTTTCCTCAGCCGCAGCCCCATGGGCCACATTGGGAAAATCTTACTTACCTGCTAGGACGATTCAAAGAAATTAACGCCTTGCACAGAGTCAGAAATAACCCGGGAAACGGAGAAGAGTAATTAGGATGAAGTTTGGAGATACTGAACCCCAAATCAGGAAGCAAAATTATGCTGTTTTTCTCTCCTTGTGCTTCCCCCCATCCCACTGCTCATTAGGAAATGGACAACTAATTTATTCCCTCTTAAACATGCAGAATTTGGGCAAGGACACATTTCCAGCCAGCCTGTCACACACGCCCTGCCCAGGGGGTGTGCAGAGACAGCGTGCTCTCCTCCCCTCTTCCCCCACCACCAGTCAGCACCTGGATCTTGTTTTTGCGGAGTCACAAATCAGATTGTGGGGAGGAAATGTGGTACTGAGCTGCAGAGTGCTTAAGAAAGAAAACTGGATGTGAAAAGGCTTTGGCCAGGCCGGCCTTCCTCACTCACCGTGAGTTATCTATCTGCAGGCCCGGCTCCCCTTAGGTTGCTGGAAACGCTCCAGTGCCCGGGGCAACAATTCTACTGAGCCCAAACAGAGCGCCTGCTAATGTGTATGTATAGGTCTACACATGCATGAATATATGTATGGTTTTAGAGACCTAAGCACCGTGAATTACACTGGGGCATAAGAATCAAAAGGCAAAGTGATCAACCCGAAGCCAAGGAAAATGAAACAGAACATTCTCATTTAATTGACTGTAACAAAGTGTGCTAAATAAACTTGGGAGAGAAATGCAAATCGGACTCCTGGAGCATACAGTTTTAATTATTTAAGAGGTTTGTAGCAGAGTTAAGGATGCTTTAACTACATTAACTCTCCACTGACAGCTTCCTTTCATTTCTCTGTAGGAATGCATGCTTATTTTTGGGTTATGGGTGAAAAGAAGCAGTTATAAATGCAAAGAGAAGGTCGCAAGAGAAGCAAATATGCAACGAGAAGATTAGAGTGCAAGACATTAAATAAAGAACTGTATTTCACATCACAATCCCACGCATGAGAATGAGCATGTAGCTGGCAGCAACAAAACATCCATGTGAGGTCCCAGTTCATATATGGGTTTTGTTTAATCCCCACCTCCTTTTTTAAAGAAACAATCTGTTATAAGAATGGCCATTTTGGGGTGAAATTGGAGATACCAGTGTGTAACTCGGACAGTCTCAAATTTCTTTAGTGAATGTTTTCCCTTTATCTTTGCAAGGAAGGAAGCACAGTAAGGAGGGAGAAAGGAGAACAAGAAGACAGGAAGAAGGAAAGAAGGTAAGGAGGAAGGAATCATGAAATAGATAGGACAGCAGTGTAACAGGAGCTTAGAAAGACAGTTTAACCTCCACAAAGCAGAGTGGGGTTTTCCCAGTAAAGGTTTTAGGTGAAGATGCTGCCACATTGAGGGAAGCTCACAGATACGCTGAGATCTCAGCAGCAACCCGAAAACCTTCCTGATCAGAACCAGTGTTGCTTGTTTATGTATAAAAATGTTAGCGCTCTGGCTTGTGGACCCTCTGTGGATCCAAGCCAACGCTATGGGCTGCCTATGCTACTGAGATGTCCCCTGTGGCCTCATGGAGTCCTGGGGGGACTTTTTGAGGTGGCTGGATCAAGTTTGTGATGCCGGGATTATGGGAGTGTGAATGCTAGATTAATCTACTGACAGCTTTGGTATGGCTCTGAAGTGGATAACGGAAGCCCTGTCCTGGGTGTGAGTCCTACCTGCCCTAAAGACATGTAGCTTGGGAGGGATGGAAGGGATGGGAAGAGGGCTGCTGTCATATTGGCTGTTTCCCTACTCCGCTGCTTTGCTGCCTTCTGCCTCCTGTTAGCTGTTTCTCCTCTGTGATGCCCCTGTGTCAAGCCACCCTGCTTTGGAGATACCTGGTTATGGACTGAAATCCCCACAAACTAAGCAGAAATAAACCTCACTTCCTTCAGCTCTGGATGTTAGGTGTTTTGCTTCAACAAAGAGAAAAGGAACTAAGACAGGGCTTAGTCACTGAATGTGTTTCCCTGTGCAGACACCCAGGGGGTTGTCATAGTTCTGGAGAAGGGAATCATGTTGTGCACTCTTTCCTGATCTGCTTTTGCTCGTCCATGAATGTTCCATTTATGTCAGCAAATCTCTATCTGCTTCGTATTTAATGGGTTACTAATTCCAAAGGTGATATTGTTACTAAGATGAATTTGTATGTTTTAGATCTGTTTCCATCTCTTTGGAAAGCTTAGTTTCTGAACTGTAAAAAAACTAATGTGAGGAGAAGTAAGGGTGGAGGAATGTGGTTATTAATGTATTTGTAAGAATCTAAGATTCTTACAAGCACTAGCATTTGGCTAGCAGTTAAGACACTGGAAAATCGAATTCTATCCCAGAGTTTTTCATGTGGCTAAAATTTTTGAAGTGGGTTTTTCTGTGGAGTAAAGCAATGATCCGTGGATCTGCTACCTATAAAGGAAACAAGAAAGAAAATAGAAACCATTCCTTATTCTATATGAAATAAAAATCTGGATAATATCAATTACTAACAGAAAATGTAGAACATGAGAAGAAAATAGAAATAGCATCCTGTCCCCTAGAGATCACATACACTGGATGTAATCGCTGATATTTTGCTGTCTTTTAATATGTAGACACACATTGTATACAAACACACAATGTGTACAAAGATGACGATGTCTTTTTTTATAAAATTTGCATTATAACATTATAAGCATTTTCTGAATTTTGCATAAATTAATAAAACTGTGATGGGTAAAATAAAAGCTTAGTGTCCTCCTCCTGTCTGTCCCTGAGACTCAGTATGATCAGTGTCACCTGGGCACCCAGAGCAGATTCCCCAGATGAAAGGCTGCTCCCTGCTGCAGTTAAGTCTGTCACCTTGGGAAAGTGATAGGGGTGTGCAACCCCAAATCCTCAGCTTCTTTAAATTTCTTTTCCTTTTTTTTGTCTTTTTCTTTTTTATCGATACCAGGGATCAGACTCATGACCACACACTTGCAAGGCAGGTGCTTAATGCCACTGAGCTAAATCCCCAGCCCCTACATTTACTTTTTATCTACCAACCACCAACATTAGACTGGAAATTTAACAAATCAAGCACTGAACTATTAAAGCTGTGAATAAACTCAGTCTCGTGTGTGTGTGTGTGTGTGTGTGTGTGTGTGTGTGTGTGTTTCCAGCTTTCATGTAATGATATTGTGAAAACCAAGCCATCACCTTACTTGTTCTGTAATCCAAGTCACAGGCACAACTATTGCATCAAAATCCTTGGGGTCCTCCCCAATTTATCAGAGGGACCCCGCAGCCACTGTTCCAAAGGCATGAAGCAGGGATATCTACCAGGCCTCCGTTTTGTGACTCTGCCCGCACCACAGCAGCCAATCATCACCCAATATAGAACTGATGCCCAACTCTGCTCCAGATCATGCAAGAAACCTGACACTGTGGGCAACTCCGATGTTTCCCTCATCTCAGAGAAACATGGACACACCCTGCAGAGTGAACAATTCAGTAAAGTGCAGGCAACATAAAAGGAGAAGGAGAGGGGTGGACAGCAAATGGGAGCTGCTTGTCAGCTCTGAGAAGAAAGGAGACAAGGAATCCAAAGCAGAGAGCAGGACCAATGGAGGATGCATGGCAGGTCCCCATACACAGCTATCAATGCAGAGTTGAAGATGAAGCCGTTGGGGGGGCCACCGAGGGTGGGTTCAGGGCAGGGAATGCAGGAGCTAGGTACAAGAAAAGCCTTCACAGGTCCCTTGACCCCACCACTGATCAGACTAAGTACAAGGCACAAGATGGCTTGGGAAGGCAACACATGGTCGGGTGAGGGCAGTGACATCTTCACCTGGGATCACAGGGAGGAAGATACCACCACCCACAGATCCTTGGAGCTGAAAATCAGACGGCACAGGGGAGATGGTTACCGCAGAAACACCACGGAAACCACCTGCCTCAACCTGGAAAGACCAATGATCCAGGCAGTGGACACTCACAGCTGCCTGGGGACAGCTGGGAGAGGACAGAGATCCCACACCTGGAAGGTCCTTCACGCTCCACCTTCCTTCTTAGTTAGGAATCATGCAGCTCACTATGTGCAGTGACTTCCCAGGTGATCCTATGTCTCCCCAAGGCCCTGTGTCAAACACTGTCTTTGTGAGCATCTCACCAAGAAAACCTAAGCCCCAGAGCCAGTCTAGTACCAAGGACATCTGCAGGTGCGCTGAAGCACACATCGGGGACAGCAAGACGGCATGGAAACTTGAGAAGGAAACAGCATCACCAGGTCCTGAAGCAGAACAAACCTCTAGGGCATCTGGTGTCACACGGTACATGGCGCCTGAGTCCCCTCTACCCCTTCCTCCAGGCTGCCATAAAAATTCACTCCACAGTGACAGAGCAAGGGAGACCCAAGCCCTTTCCCACCCCAGGAACCCACAGTGGGTGCTGATCAGCAGATGAAGTTTTGATTTCAGATCCTGCACCTCCCAGAAACCCAAGCTACAACATCGTACTAGAGATTGAAGAGTGAGGTGATCACGCCAGCTGAGTGCCTGGCCCCAGGAAAAGCCCTTATGCTCTTTGAGCTTCAGTTTCTTCTGTAAAATGGGAAGAATAATAATCAGTTTGCCACACCACTTCGAGGATAAAAACCGCCCACACAGCACATGTGCTGAATGACCAGAGAAGCAGAACAGCCAAGGGTCATGTGTTTGATCTGGGAACCAGCCTGGCCTGCGCTGGGTCTCACCTGACACTGGCTGACCCTGTGATATCAGGCAAGTGCTTTCACCCTGGGGCCTCGGTTCCCTCAT